GTCTAACACATTCATGTTCGTTATTCTTTTGTTCAGAATCTGTATTCGTGGTTCAATTCAAAGTGAGGATAGTGGAAAAAGTTACAGTGAAACAAATTTCTGCAATTTATTTCTTTCTAAAAAAAAGTCTTGTTTGATGCACGAAGTTCGATTTGTATGTTCTTCCTTTCTTTATAATATAAAATCTTGCGAGAGGTCGAACATTCATATCGATATTACGTCACCCCACCTTAATAGACTACCATCAGAAATACCAACTTGCCAGCCGTGTAACTTTTTGAGGTTAAGATTTTTCAGTACTTGTTACATTGTACTGCAATAACAGTTTCAGGGTTGTGAAGATGGCACATTATGTTTCTCCGAAACGCTGGTATAAAACTACAACTCCGCGAAACGTTACTATCCAGAATAACAACGTAATTAATAATTTAACAATCCATTTATGTGCATAATTTTCGTCACCAAACAGCCAGATGGCACTGTTGTATATTGTTACCAATTTACATTACGTGAAGACAATGAGGGCATATTCGCATTGTTCAAAAGTAAAGATGACTGACATTTTGTTGAAAAAGTAGTAACATATTAAAAGACATTTCAACATATGTCGTGGACTATACACTTAATTCAGTGATCAGTCTGTAATAAAAAGTCAAGGACCTCTGGAATCGATACTGTTCTCGCAACAGATTCCGATAAACAATTGAATCACTCGAGAAGAAAGAAAACGTTTATAATGTATGTTCATGTATTTCGCTGGATTTTATTACAAATCGCTCATTTATTTTTGTTAAGAATATAAATGGGGTAAGAGTCAATAAATAAGTGTATGTTGAAGAGATACTAATTGTAACAGTGTAATACGGTCTCCTCTTTAATTAAACCTTTAAAAATCTTCATTACGATATGTTCTCTGTACCTTGATCTTTAGAACTAAGTGATGGAACTTTGAATACAAATCATGCGACCTTATCTTATACTTGTTAATTTGCTACTATCAACGAACCAACATAGCTGATGTACTAATTCCTAGAGACGTTCTGCAGAACGTAAACTAATAACTAGAAGACGTCAATCCGAAAGCGACAGCCGGAAGTCTATACTTAACTTCAGATTTGATGTCGATAGCCACTGAACCGCCAATTGGATGTGTTATGCGTTGTACAGGGATAGATCATAAACATTCCTACTTATTCTACGTAAACCTTAACGTTCACAATTATAAACATGTCGATTAGAGAAACATTGAGGTTATGTGTCAATCCGACGAATTTAAAATAGTCGTAATTTGTACTACTGAAAATGTGGAAATGAAATGGATCATTGAACAATGTGATTGTTTATTTACCGTTCTTAAATATTTTCGCCACAGCAAGACGAATGCTGTGTGGTTGGTACACAGATGAGCTGGCTGTAATGGAAATAATAAATATGTTCAACTGTGTTTCGCTCAGGAAGAGAGTTACGTGGGACGCATAGATTAGCCCTCCCACTGCCTGCTTTGGGGGGGGAGAGGGACTGAACACGTTATCTTACAGATTTCCAAGAACGGTGTAGTTCCGAATCCTACGCACTGTCATCAAACATGATGATTATAATGATTCGTTTTGCGTGGCATCTGAACAAAGGTCCAAAAATTGAACTCGAATGAAGACGTAAACATTTTTCTTTTGCGTTATTTCTTATTTTTCACACGCCATCTACCTCCAAGTTCATTTACTGCTAACAAATACAATTTTTACATGAGTTTCTCCTGCGCTAAAGCGACCTATCAGCTGGGATGAAATAATTTCGAACACAATTTCTTTTGCAGATGGAAATCGTCTGTAGTCTTACAAGTTTCTTTCTTTATGGTGACAAGACGATGAATAAATTGATATCAAGCTCACACTGTGATTCATCGTTAACGTCCATTCCACTGTTGGGTTCCTGCATCGTGCGGAAGTGGGAGGTGTTTCGGAGGAATATACTGTTGCCATCATCAGAGCTGAAGTGAAGAGTGTTGTGCAAAACGCACGGGGCAAGCACCCAAAATCAGGATTAGCATTGTCAGAAAAAGTATATTTCTGTTCTGATTGTTAATGATTCCATTGTTTCATTACGTTTACGTCTATATATTTTTTTTAAAAAAAACAGCGCGAAAAACAACGTAATACAGGATTAATTAGGATTTTAAATTTTCACGGCGCTGAGTAGAATTTTACCGACGTCGGTCATTCACCGCCCTGATGATGGTTGCAGCAAGGAATTCTGAAACGTTGGTAAACTTCTACCAGACTGCAACGGAGCTACAACCCAGAATACCGCCATCTTGGTACAGGGTTGTTTATATTTCTTATTTTTACGACATAAATCCAAGCATTGACGGCAGAAGCCAACACAAATCAATTTAACGGTTTAACATTTAATGCAATTAAATTGAAAACACTTCGTATAGTAATATAATTTTTAGTATTGGAGAAACACTAAGCCGCAGATGCAATAGAATTTCTGACGGGACAGAGGGAGTCAGTGGGAAACATTTACATAAGGAGATTACAGACAAGACGAAACAGAATCGATTTTGGTAGTCGGGTAAAATGATTCAAGACGTCAAAACCTCATACAAAATCTTATCTACTCTCTTTGAAATGCGAGGTTCTCACAGGAATAAATAAAGATCTTGCTGTTGGTCTTCTCGGTTGTAAAGCCACAAGGCTTTCCAACCGAGTAGACCAACAGCAAGATCTCAGTAATGTTTAGTCATATACAGAGTCAAATGTCCCTATTGTTATAATTCATATTTCTGAACAATCTTAGCAGTGAAAGTGTTGTGTATTATTTGCGTTTCGCCCGAGTAAAATTACCTCCGAGTTTCACACTTTAAAGCCGATGTACCATTTACTTTACCACTAACACTCCATTTTGTATTTTATGTGATTCGTACGGAGTATTTCCTAAACAGCGTTAATAGATTAATCTTTGTAATGTAGAAGTGTGGTGTTTTCTTTGAGGTACGTACTAAATTATTTAATATTATTTAGACGACTTTCAGTTTCAAATGGTCAAGCACTTTGCTTTAACGGAGTTCTGGGAACGTTGGTACGGCTCCATGCATTCTAAGATGGAGGTAAGTGATCGGCTTTAAGATATGTTCGCTTTAACCCAAAGGAGAGGCCACGTATCCCATAACGTAGTAGGATGGGGCTGAGACCCGAGCCAGACAGTTTACTGACTACTTATAATCCTTAACGAAACTTATATTTCGGTAAGTAACTAGATACAAATAAGTTTTCTTTGTCTCAAAAAAACAGAAGCAGATCTATAAGGCGCTTTGTTATGTTGAACGTACAGTTACCTCCGACGATGACGTAATTTGTTAACTAGTTACGAACTACTTATATATTTTAAAAGGTATGTCGGTATGAAAATAAAATCATAACATGAGATCGGCTTGTTTGGCGTTTTTTACACGATGTACACAAAATAAACGCATAATAAATAATCGTGTGTCTAACTGTACAAGTTTCGAGAAAAAAAATATGCACCTTTTGGTATGGTATTTTTGTCTTACAAAATGTGAACAATAAATGGATGATTGCATTAATTCTGTAAGAAAATTTTAAACGACTAATAAAGGACTGGAACTGAGCATTTGGTACTTAGTATGAAGTTCATAGCAAACCTATAAAGTGTTACGAAATATTCTTTATAACATTCTTACTAAGGATAACATAATAACATTCTGTAACATTTAAAGTTGCAAGCAACACAAAATCCGACTCATCATTATTTGGTCGAATGACGACACTACATGATTTCTTCTGAATTACTGTCAGCATTAAATAAACTACAAATATAATCAGGTCAAATTAGGCATCAAATGGGGCAAAGGAGACGAAAGCCAAATATGCTTTTTAAACTCGAAATCTGTGAAGTTTTTCATAATTGGGGGGGGGGGGAGGTAGACACTGGGGGAAATCAATCTGAAAATAAATATGGCAGAAATCGCAGCGTAACATAGAACTCAACACACAAAACAAGAAAATTATGAAACAACGTAACATGACTGAGGAAATTATTCTCCATCTTATTAACAATCAAAAAACAAAACACATTCTCGAATACGGTAGGTAACTTATAATCAAAGGAAATTCTTTCCCGATTCACTTTAATGAATGCATTTGACTGCTCAGGCTTTCCTTTGTGTCTGTGAGAGAGAACGCAACATTTATACACAGGAAAAGGAGGAAAGACACGCCCTTGTAAAGGATTCGAATGCGGACTGTCCCAAGCGTGTTCGAGGGTTAGATTTCTTAATATTTAAAGGCCGAAATGAGGGGCATGTCAAGTAATCAGCCACAGCAAGACCCCAAGTGTCATGTTCATTTGTTAGACAGATAAATAATTTTCTATTGTTCGCTACTCCTGTCCACCAAAATTTATATTAAATCGAACATCAAGTACAAAAGCCCATGCCACCACTCCAGAAACCGCAAGGGGCAATTGACTCCTTTCTTTGTCTTCCAAAAAGCTGGCAACTGAGCGTGTGTGTACCCGGTCGCCTACTCTACCCTGCTATGTTGCCTATTCTCTGTCAAACAGGTGTTGGCATAGCATGGTATGGGAGGCTGGCAGAACGGGAAGCTGTCAAATCGTGCCCGCAACTTCAGGAAGGTGGACATCACCTCCATTGTACACAGTCTTGTAAAAACGACAACCAAACCTATTTAACTTCTATCCCCCCCCCCTCCTGGTCAAACTGCATTCCCATGACCCATGGCCCGACGACCTGAGTCCAAGTTGTATTTAAAAACAATGCGAGCAACACACAAACCAAATAAATTACAACAGTTTCGTTTTCACATTCATATAAAGCAAATCACTTTACTAGTATTTCAACAAAACATTATCTGATATAGAATACAGCTTGACGGAGGGGACATTAGTTTCCAAAATAAACATAAAACGCATCCCGTAACAAAAATAAATATGGACACTACTGAAAATTATGTATTTACCTTCCCCAAAAATTTTCCTTTGAGGTATGTGGTTCTTGTAGAAGGATCTACAATGTACTCTGAAGTTTCTGAATCACTGTTTTTGTTGCTGTTAAAATGTGGATCTTTCAGTCCGGCAATTCCAGAGTCCATGGAATCATTGTTGCAATATCTTTCTTCCGTATTCCATGTTCCTGGAGGTGCGTTATTTACCTCCCTACGCAAACGGACCCTCAAATCTGAGTTTTTCAAAATCAAATGATCGGTCTTCAAACTCATATTCTTCCTACCTGTGGGTGACCTCTTCACAATGATAGTACTACCACACGTTTACCATACACTCATTATGCTCCTCATTGCCACAATACACCCACAAACACAGCTAGCCTCCGAGCCAGTGCCAGACTACGACTACTTCTTTCACTGGTGGCCGCAAGAGGCGCCCGTCATGACGTCATGAACAGTAATTTCAACCTACGCAGACGAAACACCGCAAAGAAAATCGCCAGCTAGCTAATTGGGATTCGATTTGACTCTTAACTGGACCGATGGTACCAACATACTTACAAGTTTAACGCTAGTAAGAAAGTTTTGCTGTATGCAGATATGTACATATTTATCACACATAGAAAGGGTGGAAGAACAAGAAGATTGTATACCATCATATTTTGGTGGGGTTAAGGTCTGTGGGGTCGGGTCTGGTCATCCTCACGTCTGGTAGCACAAAAAATTTTCGGGTCCGGCCCGGTTCAAATATGTTTTCAGGATTGTTATCCTGCTTGATATTCTCTTTGCTTACATGTTCCCTGCGCTAGTTATCATCTCGAAAAGCAACGGAATAGAGATATGGCAATGTAAAAACGAAGATAGTTACCAGATATTATATATGACGATTTTTAAAACGTAAAAAGGCTAGTCGAATATTTATATAACAAAGGTGTTTTGCCTACGGTTATGTCATATTTGTAAAATACGATGAGGTACGCTGTATAATTAAACAGAAATAGTCACATTTAACCTAAACTTCCCAAAGTTGTCAGGTCATACAATTTGTACTTATCTACCTAAAAGTTGTGGGGAACTGACAGGTCGTATAAGATTTACTTGCGGAACAAAAGTGCGAGGAAGGAACTAGTGAAAGTTGCATGAACACAAGGAAATTGCAGCATTTCATATCATATGTTATAAGAACTTAAGTATGACTGCATCAGGGTAAAATGAGGTTGACCGTCTCTGCAGTTTGTGTAAAAACTTTTAAAAATAATAGTACCTGTAGAAGGGAGTTACAGAATTTATTTTCATGAAACAACCTCTATTTTATACATGGGCATAGCTTAAAAATCATTGCAGCCATTTTAACCTAGAAGTCATTTCATGTGTAATCAACACACTTTAGGGACACAATTTTCATAACCGTTTTTGATTCTATTAAAATTTCGCAAGCTCACTAGGTCTCCTTAAGAAGTGACATATGAAAGTTTACCTTCCTGTATCCATTAATTGCAGAGATACAGTATTTTAAAATTTTCCTCAAATTTCTGTTGTTGCAGCAAAAGAACTGTTTCACAATCAAAAGATTTTTGAGAGATTCACAAGGCTTGATAAAACTATTCTGTAATACACACTGATAATTTTGACCCACAATTAGAAATTAGTACTCAGTTTTTGGTGAGAGAATAAGCTGTAGGATAGGGTGTTCACATGAAAATTATTATATCACTGAAAAATTAATGATGTAATTTCCAGATATCATCACATTGTGGTACTTGGAATTTGATTAGCCATCATTATAATTATTCTTCTACAGTCAGTCATAATGCCTACACATAGGAGGAAAAAAGCAGAAAAATTGAAAAAAACTGTTTCACCTTCAGTTGAACTTAAAATCATTGAATCAGACAGACTTTCTTCTCATTCTGATGAATCCAGTAATACAGAAACCACAACTACATCACAGAAAGCTGCAGAGCCCCAAGGAGAGAATAGAAGTGAAGATTCAAACAGTGTAGACTTGCCTTCATGTGGATTTAAAAAACCAGAACCTGAAGCCCCATCTCAAGAAACTGAAAAATATGAAGAACAAAAAACAGCAGGTTCACCTTATTTTTTGTTAAGGACACACGAATCAAAAGTTGTGTCACAGAAATCACAAACAAGATCTCCACCGCATAAGGTTGACGAATGTGGAGATTCAGGAGAAATAGGTTCTCCTTTGTATCATTTTCAGAAACCAGGAACCAACGTACCTCATAAATCACAAACCACAGGCCCATCTCAAAAAGCTGAAGAATGTCTGAATGTAAGAACAGATTCGTCTTCATTTGAATTCAAAAAACCAAAAACCAGAAAGCAATCTTTGAAAGCTGGAAAATGTGGAGATTCTACAAGAGAAGATTCTCCTTCACCTGAAGTTAAGAAGCAGTGGAACAAAGCCTCATTTGAGCAAGAAGAAGATTATCGTGATCTACAAAACATGGCTACTCTTCAGAATCAGTTCACAGATCCACACATCAAAGAATGTGGCTCTTCAGTTAAAACTCACAAAACAGGAGTTTCATTTCAGAAAGAGGAAAATTCTGATGATGCAAGTAAAAGAGATTCACTTTTAAGAGAGTTTAAGAGACTGAAACAACGCGATTTGGAGTTGGATAATGAAAGAGCAGCTTTAACCGAAGCAATTGGTAATGAAACAGGATTAACAACCATAATGCAACAACTTCATGAATACAACTTAATCAAAGATACAGCCCAACTTATTATAGGTAGTTTATCCAACGTACTGAATGTTCCTATAGCACAACTGCATCAGGAATTAAACCTCACTTTTCAAAAGTAGCATTAATAGAAAAATAAATCAGGAAGTACCTACTGTAATTGTGTATAATATCCATAATATGCTCACAGCAACTTATAAAAGCATAATGCACAATCCATACAGCAGATTCTGACTGTTAATTTGGAACTTTTTTTCATAATTATTCTTTGTTGTATTTAATTAGTAGAACTAATCTTAAAGTGACAATTCCATTATTTTGAAATTTAATTTTTCAATTTGTATATGTGGGAATTTCTTCTGACCTAGATAGAATACAATTTAATTTGAATATATGTTTATTCCAACCCTGATTCTGTTGACATAATGAAGTCTATTGAATATGCATGTCAATATATTAGGAAGTACATGATATATTTGCTGCAACTTTCTGTATTGTCTGAAATAAAAGTTTTCATTCTTGACAGTTTCTTTATATTCTGTATTATTCTCTAAGATATTTGTTTGTAGCGTGATAAAATTCTGTGGAAGCAAAGAATGCTGAAGTTAGTGTAATTCTATGTCAATGGATAGGAGGATTTATCCCCTATATGAGTCTGCTGTTTTCTGAAAGAGAAAACTGTCACAGGCAAGGCATGATCTACATCTCCCAATGATAATTTTTGAACCAACTGAGTTTGGAATTTGAATGATATGGCATGATAACTTCCTCCAGAAGAATGATGTATCTACTTTGTTGGAGAGCCATTACTGGCAATAATTTATAGGTAATGATAGTATACCATATAACTGACTAACTACATGGTTTACCAAACCCGAAGGTTCATCACCGAATTAACCAAATCCCTTCACCGGACCCTGTCCTGGACTAACAAAATCCAGTCTCCTTCAACTCCTATCTCCCATAGATCCCGCCTGACATTATCCTCCCATCTACGTCTAGGTCTCCCCAGCGGTCTCTTCCCCTCAGGCTTCCCAAATAGTGGACCCAACCAACCAGATGGCTTATGGAACCCAAAGGTTCATCACCGAATTAACCAAAGCCCTCCACCGGACCCTGTCCTGGCCTAACAAAATCCAGTCTCCTTCAACTCCTATCTCCCATAGATCCCGCCTGACATTATCCTCCCATCTACGTCTAGGTCTCCCCAGCGGTCTCTTCCCCTCAGGCTTCAGTATAACATACAAAGAAACATTAAATTAATTCAACTATTATAATTAGAATCAAATCAATTATCTCCACTGTGAGAATTAATTATTTGTAATGGAATATAGTTTCATCAAATTCCAAATCAGAAGTTACTGGCCTCATGATGTAACAGATGCAAATTCTCATATTACTTTTACATTTCGGGGTACAATGTTCATGTTAACTGTGTTAACCCAGCTAATATTTTTAAAAATGAAAAATTTAAAGCATCTGTCTTACTTAAGTGTTAGCCTTGGTAACATGGTTAACACGAACACTGTGCCCCCTGGTACATTGTATTTATACGTGGAAAAAGGCTTCTCAACAAAACCATTTCTTACACAGAAGAAATAGTTCATGTTACATTATGTTTCATATTTACAAAATGGTATAATCATCTTCCAACCAGAAACAAGCGCAAATTTGCGATAACGACACGTACATATTTGAACTGGTCACAAGAATAACTGTTGTCATTTTATTGTCCAGATAAAATGACACAGACATCACTGCCTTCATTGATACCATCATCAATATATGCTGGCACATTTGAGAAATCATTATGTAACTGACTTAGATTATCACAGTTTTGGAATTTTTTGGGGATAGGGGGAAATTAATTTTTAAAAACAATGGAAAGTGACCTAAGACAACCTGGGATAATAATTATCACAATTATAAGAACCTTTTGTGCATTATTGTTAAATATTTTTCATTGAAAAACAATGATTTCATGTCAGTAGATACATTCAAAGAGTGAAAATAAAATATTTTATCATATATACAGGTAATAATCAGGAATTAAAACACTAAATAGAAAGATCCCTCACGACCTTTCTGATGCTGCAAACCCCCTCCCCAAAATTATCTCACATTTTTATTAAATACATTAAAGACTAACTAAAATGTGGATAGAAAATATAGCTTCTTTGTCATGTTTTTACTCCAATGTGGAAGGAAAAACAAGCAGAAAAAGGCTTAAAACTTTCAGTAATACAGCATAAAAAGTAGAATCTACTTGCAGACTCTGAGGCACAACTTGTGGACCCCTGGATGAGAATCATTGCCTTAGATTATTCTTATACTTTTTTCAACTACAGACTATCTGACAAAATCCAAAATATCTGTAGCCTTCAAGTAATTAGCAATTTAAGCAAGTCTGGCTAAGTACAGAAACAAGTGAGCACTTATCAACTTTGGAAGTCCTCGTTCATTCTTTTAGAATAGACAGATGGTCACTGATAAATTGTCTTTGTAATGTGAAGCTAAAGTAAAGTAAAAGTAAAGTTTGTCCCACTATACGCCATGTAGGCGTTTGGGGTGAGTGGAGGTATAGCTCCTCTCTTCCTTGACCTTGGCACTAGATGGGGGTGGGTGGTCAGCATCCCGCCCCGGCCGGCTTTACCCCCGGGAAAGGACCCCGGTACCCATTGTAGAGGAGGCTGGGTGGGCCCCAGAGCCGGTCTGGACGCAGAGGCTAGAGGAAAAATCCTTTGCCCCCGTCGGGGATCGAACCCCGGTCGTCCAGCCCGTAGCTAGTCACTATACTGACTGAGCTATCCTGGCTCACAATGTGAAGCTAAATGTTTACAAATTATAAGGCAAATCTTTGAAATATTGGAACATTCAGTTTGTTTACAATTGTATACTGGAGTACTTCAGCAGTCGCTTAATTTTTCTGCCATTCTGTTTAAAAAAACAATAGTTCGAAAGCATCCATTTCTTATACTGCATATAGCAGTTGAATGATTCAGCTGATATTAAATAGAAAATTATTTTAATAAAATGTTATGTTTACCCAGTATATAATTTGAGCAGCTTGCAAATCATGAATGGCGTTGAATAAGTTTTTGTTTTACAGCTCATAATGGCATAACGGTACAAAGCGCTTTGGATTCAAGCTTGGAAGTCAAATGCTACATTGTTTATATATATTTATATATATATATTTACACCCCCGATCATTATCATTCAATATGGTATGAGCAGATACAAAAATATATTTATTTATATGTGTTTATATTAACAATATAACTTAAATGGAAGCACAAGCCTGTAGGGTTAATCAGCTAAACACTTCAGAATATTTAAAATTTGAAATGTTCATGACAAATACACAAAAATCCTCAAAGGTTATGATGACCTAAAAACAAATGTTTTCAAGACCTAATCTTTGTTTCCATCATCAGGGTAAACTCTGAAATCGAAACCGTTTTGATATATTAATGTAGTATAAACATGTTATATATACCAAATCAGTTTCAAGATGCCATTTAATATTTTTTATAAAAATTATATGCATGTAAGATAAGGTGGTTAGCCTGAAACAGCATACATTCAGTAATATACTGTAATAATATTTGTGTGCGAGTCCATAAAATATTGATATAAACATAAATATAAAGTTGAGAAAAATTATTCCACACACACACAAACAATGGTGGCAAAAATTAAAAATATCTATCTACTGAAGAATTCAACTGCAGAATTTTTTGCGTTATAACCCTTTCGTAAATGTTCAGCTGATTCACTCCTTCACACAGATAAACTGCTATACGTTTATATCCGTTTTACACGATCTTACTAATAATTTTCCAAACCTAAAGTTTTACTAATCTGTACTAAATAATGACTCTTGATTGGCAGGAAATATGTCCTTTCAGCATCAACAGCATCACACTGAAAATCAAGTTTTTCACATGAATGCATAAAATATGTTGTTCGTACATCACGACAAAATATAACACCAAAACCACATTAATTCTCTTGAGGAAGGTTTGCCACAGAATGTCAGTTCTGAACGGTAAGACCAGTCCAGCAATTTGAAGCCAACGTTTTTCGTCTTGAGTAATCAGGCAGCTGAACCAAATTAGTATTGTTTTAACACGTTGATGCTGGAGGGAGACATAAGCTTAATTTTTAAAGCAACGTATTGTTGAGGGGGCCGCATTTTGCTTTTCACGATATGTTCACGATTGTTTTCATTAATAAATCCATCAGTTCCAAATTTAAACAAATTCCTACCCCAAAGGACTTGTCCACATCCAGTTTTGTAAAGCGTACCACGAGTACACAAGAGCAAATTATACCGAGTGATTCAGGATTGTGAAGCGTATTACTGGTGTACCTGGTTACTAAATTAAATTATTAAATCGCCTCATATGAATTTTGACCACGTAAAATCAAAATTAAAAGTAGAAAATATGTTTTGACAGAAAGAATCTGGCAGAATGAATTGAAGTGAACAAAATTAAGTTTGATGAATACGAATATGAAAATCTGACCTCTTTTAAGGTAACTGTCTTCTGGGATATTGTATTGTGTAGTCTGGTTGTACTTACCAATGTTTCAGAGGAGCTTACTGCTTCATTTGTTTCCGTGGGAAAAATTAAGGTCCAATACATTTTGAACAGACCTCGTATTACAGTCGTTAGTTTATCTTGCACAAGTTTTATGGGTTGAGTCCAAATGAGACAGCATAACAATAATGTGGAAGAATAATATTTTTTAAGGGTCAGATATCAAATCCCAGGGTTAGTTATCAAAACTTTGATTTTTTGGTGACCCGCATCTCCCAGGAAAAGACTGGTTAATGCCAAAGCTTTGTTGTACTGCAACACAGCATGAGGTTAACGACAGTAATAAGCTCGGCAAATTGCATGTCCTGCAGCGTTTTAAGCTGGACATTAAGAATAAAGAAAACTAAAAGCAAACAGAAAAGAATGCATATAAAATGTCAAGAAGGTTGATTCCGGTGAAGTAGGTCAGCCTCAGTATTCATAAACTGCATTCATCATCTGGAGTAAGAAGATGGTATGATGAAGATTTACGACTGGTGCTGTACCACAGTATTAACAAATAGACACAGAAATGTATGAGACATTGACGTTTGTCCTATTCTTTATTATCTTCTGTTGTCATCCTGTTTACATATCTCTGACGTTACTTCGAATAACAGAAAAGAGTACTTTTTTTAGTTTATGTGATAAATATTAAATTTAAAAAGTTACATACCGAGAGGTTACCACTTCTTTGTACTAATCCAGTATTGCCCACCGAGGTCCTTTCTTCCCACACTTTGGACCGAAACTGAACATCCACTGGGAAAAGGTGTCCCTCTGTACTGAACACATATTTGCTGAAGTGCTTATTCACATAGTTGTCTTTATCAAATAACTGTGGAAGATATTATATGAAAGTACATCAATAACATAAAGCCATGAAATTATCACACCAAACTGTTATCATGTTTGTGTTCTTTTCCTGGGTTTTGATGCTGAGTGGACACGTTTATCGACATTTTGGATAAACGAGCCGTCGACGGAGACAGTACTGCATCTCTGAAACATTGGTATCTATCTATGAAGAAATATACTGTCTCCATGTACAGCAAACTTCTCAAAAATGATGGTATCTACCAATGAATCCACACCCCAGACGAACAATTATTCTTCACTACTGTGAGTACCTCAGATCTAACAAATCTGGTATCATGTTCAAATAAAGTCACAGATTTCAAAAGAAAAATTTGGGGTGTACTGGAACAAAGTAAGTTTAATATCCTATTAAGTTAAGTGGATTAAAAGACACACTTAATATATTTATGCTCTTTCAGCGAGTACTTACCAAGTATAGGTACTTGCAAGTCTCACTCAAGAAGAAGCTCTCCATGCGATCCTCCAAACTTTTATCCAAAACACTGTGCACAGTTGCATAGCCACACTCTGCCCTAGTAAAATTGTTCAGGCTTTGTAGGATATCCACACCCACATGCAAGTAAAATGGATTTCTGGTTGCCTGAAAATTAGCGAAATATTAATACTGAATTAAACAGCGCTGAGTCCACAATGACAGAATAAATCATATACCACTTCAACCAATAAAATTAAAATATATTTCATACCAACATTTGACACACTGGTGATGGGTTAATCAGTTTTGAAACTTGTCTATTTGACCTCAAGGCTCCAATAAAATATCATGAGGCAATATCTACCATCTAAAGAACATTTTAAAAACTTATTTAACGCACAAATATAAGGATTTGATTCGTGTTACTTTACGAATATCTGAACATTAATGAATCCTGCAACAGCCAAAATATTTGAAGATGTATACTGACCAAATAAGACCAAAGGCTGCTCGACGCTGGTATGCGGCAGTGCATGTAACAGTGACATATTCAATCAAAAAACTGCATACACAAAAAAGCTAAATGTGTGGAAAATTATTTGTCCTGCATCGTTGATACATATTATATCTATCCGTTCATTTATGAACTTCCAATTTACAAATTTTCACTATAATGAACCATGTAAATTGAAACTTATTTTAAATTTATCGACATTCTTTTTGCTACAACGAACAAACTTTTATCCAAGGGCTGACTGAGTGCTTTAATAAATACATATGTTTTTTCTTTGTTTACATCAGTTTTCATTTTTAAACTGTAACTGCAGTAATTGCTATACAATACAAACTTTTGATTTAATACTTAAATAATGCTTTACAGGGTTAAACAGACAACAACTATCATAAAAAGCAATAATATTCTTATATTTATGACTGCATAGTATTCTAACATGGAAAAAACACTGGAAGTCAGAAGCCAGTCAGAATTTTTTACAATGAAATTAAAAGAAATTTCATTTTTGATTTTGATTTGGGTGTAATGACTTCATTATTATAGTTCATCCTTTTACAAACCTGGTACAGGAGATATGTAGATTCCACCAATTCTGGACGGAGTGGATAGAACGTCACATCAGCAGAGAGCCGCTGCCAGTTCCAACGTTCTGGCAGAACACCGTACTGCTTCCAGATGGAATAATAAAGCGCATGTGTACATATTGCCTCTTCAATATCACCATGTAGAACCTAAACACAATATGAACGATTCCTGTCACAAATCAGCTCAATGTTACATGTTACAAATGTGATCCTGGGCTTACAAAATTATTCTGTGATCTCCATTTTGTATTTCACACAATCCCTAATTAAACATAAGTCACAGACGGTGCTTCACACATAAATTTTATATTATCAAAACAATCTATCAACCATAAGCAGTGATTAACTGACAACCTGTTATTCTTTTAGAGAGGTTTGAATATAAAGTATTCGCCAAATTCAAACGCTGTAACTTGGATTATGAAGATGCTGTGAAATGTCTTCTTCATTTTCTTCTGATGGACTTCATTCAGGTATAAAATAAATATCAGAATCACTTCCTTATTGTATTAGTGTTCCTAATATTTTTTCTTCCACGCTCTTTGAAGAATTCACAACGCTCACAAAGCAGACCAGGTATCAAGTGTGTACTCGTACAAATGCCATACCTCGGATTTCAATCGCCTTGTTACCGCGCTGCCTAAACAGAAGTGCATAATAAATATGTTGATTTTGGAAGTGTTCAGGAACTGTATAAGATTGAGTCTGAAAATATGCATCTCCTAACATCCTGATTACTTACCTGAATTCCAGCAAAGGCAGCTTGTAACGAGTCTATCCATGATGTGTGAATAGCACCACTCATCATATCAACATTCACATAAAGAGGATGATCACCAGAACCTTGGTTACAATGAGCTCGTCTGAAAGAAAATTAAAAAAATGGTCAGCATTATTACCATGATGCCGTCCTTTAGTTTTAGAAATGCATCTTATATCAACATGATCACCCATGTGTAACTTCAACTTTCAGGGAAGAACTGCATCAAATGTCAAGGATTATCCATTTAGTAAAAACTGCAGTTTCCATCTTCAGGATAAATATGTAGTAGTTGGATGTTCTTTGAAGCCTTATATAGGACAAGCATATGCACGAGCAATACAGGTAGCCCTCGATTTGCACCGGGGATGCATTCCTGGACGAACCGGCGTAAATCGAAACTCTTTTATAATGTAAATCAATGGGAAGTCAATGACATGCGTTCCCAGCACCAAAACATTGACGAGTAATATATGGCATTACGTTTAAAGCTCTGAAATGACGTAAATAAAATAAAGGGAATTTAAAAAATATATTTTATACACTTACAATCGGCAATTCGTTGGTCCCCGCGATTGACTGCGATTCTTTCATGTGACTGATGTGTACAGTCATCTCTGCTGTTAGGCGAGAGTTGCATTCATGTAAGACGCAGACCTATACAAAATCGCGTAGTAAAAATAACCCCGGTACCTCCACAGAGATTAAATTAGTCCTTTGAAAGTCTAAAGCGCCAGGAATGAAACTGCATAAGAGCAAACTTGCATATGCAAAAGTTTGCATTTCACAAACAGCTTTTACCGATTCATCGATCTCATTGGAGCAAATTCGCGTTAACGAAACACACGTAATTGCAGAGATGACTGTATTTATAATTTTTATCCAAAATCAGCGATGTAAGAATAACGATTTAGTACAAGAATCAGTACGAGATACATTGTAAAACGCTATAAATAATAGTAAAATATATTTTCTTTCACTTTTTTGATTTCCTGGTTTCAAAATCGGTGCAAATCGAGAGCTACCTATATATTTAAAACTCTCTTTTTTAAACAACGTTTAAGCCATCTATTTTTCAAGTGGAAAATCATCATCTGATTGACTTAATTAAATTATATATAAGTACATGTACCATGCACAATGCAGGCATTCCAATGGCAACTTCTTTTCCAAGAAACAATACATAAGTAGCACCTCATATACTTTGGGAAGAAGTACAGCTTATACATGATAAATACAATACACTTAAGCCTACACATACATATAAGGAATACATTCTTTGACTTACCCTCTGCGCATATATTGCTTGATAACACGATAAGCTTCTACAAACATTTCGTAGTCATCGGATTCACCGAACATGACGTACGACTTCAACAGGTACTCGTAGAAAGAGTCTAGGCCAGCACCAAGGCCACTAAGTCTCCCTATCCAGCGTCCTGACTCCACGTCAATAACGTTACCTTCACGAGAGAATAGTACGACAGAATGAGTTAGGGATTAAAGCTTTTTCACCTGTAAATTTTCAATACTATCTTCCCAAAAGAGTAAAATGCTTGCTTTTAGGTAAAATAAATGTGTCGCATCATACATACAGAAGTACAATGGATACCCAGTTATGGAATCACAATTTAAATGCCTCGATTCCAAACTGCGATGATTTCGAGTAAAGGTATTTCTGGAGCAACAATGACAAGGGCCTTGTCCATTCATTATAAGTTGACTTTTATAAAATTTACGTGAAATACACATAATAAACACTGACAAATTACGGGGGGCCTTGGATGGATCCTTATTTTCACTGTCATGAAAATTTATAAGAAAGGTTATCAGTTCTAGTTTGTCGTTCGTACATAAATTCTAAAGCCTGGTGTCGCCAGAGGTTTTAATGTTGAAAATTTAAATGGTGGGCTTTAAAGAGTCCCCATGACCATGATTTAATAGAGTATGTGTTTGGTCATATCTTGCCAACACTAAATGAGTTCTCGGTCAGTTACAATGCACTTCCTTTCGCTTTGTGTCAAAATATGTGAATTTAATACTTTTTCAGTTTAAAGTTTGTAATCATCAAACAAATAAGACAAAAATTTGTAAGAAAACTGATTTTGCTTCTTAACCAGTATCTGGTGAAATAGAATTAATACTAAGCAGTACTGGCCAAACCTAGGACAAAGACGTGAATCAGAACTGATATTAGCTACACAGTACTCTAACATCAGGTACAAAAATCAGCATTTTTGATTCCAAGGAATGCCAAGAATTTCAAAGAATGCTGAAACCGGCAAGATCGCATAAACTTTAGTTTTTGTATAAACTGAACAGGGTAAAACACACCTAGAAGACCTGTTGACTTTTCTCTTAGGTTCCACAAAACCTTGTTAGCCCTGCGCGCATACCCTTCATACACTGGATCACCAAGCAGTCGACTGAGAAGGCCAAATTCTAGCACGAGAGACCCAGCCCCAGCCGTGCAAGTTTCAGCTGTACGTGGTCGCGGTAAACCTTGACGTAAGTTCACCTGCGACAGATATAATACGCAGATTTAAGAAGAAACTATTTCATGCTCTAACTACAAAATACAAAGCATAATATTTTATACGCAATTATAAAATGGCACAAAAATAAAAATGCCTACAACATTAATATGACAACACGACACTAAAGGAGCGGACTATTGAAAATGAACACAGCTATAACGGATCCATTAGTTAACAGATGATGAAAGAACATGAATTCTCAATCCTTTAACAAGAAAGACAGAAAATCTTTTATGTTTTAAGGCATAGAAAATACGAGACAATGGAATTCACCCCATACAAAATTCTGTACTGCTCAGATAAAGAAAGGAAGGGCATTTATGAATGAAATGCATGTTATATCTCTAAAAATAAGAATTAAGAGCAGTAAGTTTTAATATATATCTTTAATTCTGTGATTATTATGCTAATATTACAAATCATTCACTATTCTTTAGTCACAGTTGTTGTAATTGTTATAGCAACAGAGACAAGTGATTTGCGATACCAATTAATACTCATTAAAAGGAATGTGTCCAGGTTACATTCACTTCTCTTCATTAAAGAAACAGGTAACACACATCTTCAAATCTGACTCATGAAATTTCTAACATCTGCCGTAAATGCTAAGTCAAATACAGAGATATTCAGGTAAATAAGACAAATTACCCTCGGGTAGGGAATGCCTGTTGAACTCTCCTCAAATGCAGGCAAAAGTCTAGAGGCCAGATCATGTGCCAACTGCAGAAGCTCACCATCATACCAGGATGGACGCAAGTTTCCGAAAGGCTGCTCCTTATCCATTATGAGGAGATGTGCAGAAATGAGTGCGCCAAGAACCCTACGCACATAAAACATGCATATACATATATTTACACATCACAGACAGCCACATCATAGCACAATTTATTACATTTTACATTAGACTGAAAAGTATTTAAAAGAATGACCGCTTCTACAGTAAATATTTGTAAGAGAAATATATTAAAGAAAAATTACGTCCACAGTCAACATCTATAACTCATATTTTGTCTTCTTACTAAAACTTCGGTATCTACACGACATCAAAACCCAAAGATCATCATCTTCATAGATATTTTTTCCAGTTTTACAATGATGTGAAAAAATATAACATAATAACTTCATTTGTAAAAAAAAAACACAGTTTTACAATGATGTGAAAAAATATAATATAATAACTTCATTTGTAAAAAAAACAACATGGATATAATGTACATTTGCTATATAAAAACACAAGTAGGGGTGAGTTACCTGATATTCACTTCAAATACTTGAACCACGTTATCTTTGTCAAAGCTGACATTCTGGATAACTTTAGCAACAGCATTCTGGAATTCTGTCACATTACCAAGTACTGCCAGGGTGTCCAGTGAATCAACCAGAGTGAGGCTATAATCACCAAGTATGTCATTTATGTTGATGTTAGATCTGTAACCAAAATAAAATAAAAACAATAAAGACTGTAATTTTCATGTTCAATTCAGTGTAAATGAGTAAGGTTTCAGTCTGAAGAACACCCACTCAAACCAACAGAAACTTTTAGTGAAACCTTTTTTTTTCCATCTGCCATGTTATGTGTTTTTAATATTGTCATATTTTGTAACCAAACAATACACAATGAAATAAACAATACTAATGCATGTAAAAGAAACCTCTGTGATAATGTAAATCTATCAGCCAAAGACAGCCTAGAATATTACAAATTGTACTCAATAAGCAATACTTTCATGAAGAGAGCTCCTGCACAGCAAAACAAAGAAAGCAGGCAAAAATCACAAATTCTACAGGTTTGTAACAACAGAAATGAAGATAAAGATAAGTCAGACTAAAACTCAAAATTAGCCATATTATCTAAATAGTATTTACGTATGTGTTTGGACAGAAGAAATTGTGCTTCACTGAATCATTCTACATTGATCACACAACCTAACCTAAAAGAATGTCAAATGTGTAAAAAATGTATTTAACATTTAAAACTATCTCTGGTTTTTGTCCATGGAGTGTACTTATGATTCTCAGAATATACAGCCTTAGACAACATTAACCAACTGAACCACGCACTGTAAATATGTTACGTTTCCTCTGAGGTAAGAAATGAACTTTTAAATGTTATTTAGATGAAAAATGGGGTTCAAAGGGATAAATGGAATGAACTGCATTTCCCAAACTATCGTATGACCCCAAACAAACTGTGGATCATATTATTACTAACTGAACTTTAGTGTTGAAAAGTTAAAAGAGGAAAAAAAGTGTGGTAACATATAAAAAAATAAACTATACCCAAAACATGCATCTAGACTGAATAAATTATGCTGAATTTTATTAGTGCACAAACCCTACATAACAGGGGTGCAGAAACATGTAAGGGAACTACAAATAACTGATAATCACACAGCAATCAACCAACAACTAAATATACTGGCTTTATAGAATTCCAGACTCACACATCTCAAAACATCTACTTTCATGTAACACACTGAGACTTTGGTCATCACCACCACAACCCTGAAGCTGGAACAAGTAAAGAGTTTCAGTCTTGTTGATGTACATACTGCTGACATGAAAGATTGCGATGCATAAAAATGGGCAGGAAATTCATAGAAACCTGTCATAAATATGCAGGTATGAACTTACTCCATGAAGCAGAGTCCTTCTTATGATACATTTCTATTACTCCATGAAGCAGAGTCCTTCTTATGCTACATTTCTAAGTTAGTTTAGAAATTCTGTGCCTTTTATGGACCTTAAGGTTTATTACTGTGTTCACAAGAGCCCATTACTGGCTATATTGTAAGCTTAATGAATCAAATCTACATTAACTGAATTTTTTAAGCTCCTCTATATGTAACACTCTCAAATTTGTTCCTCTCTCTTACGTCAAAATATTATGAGCACCCTATTTTTAAATACCCTCAACCTACATTATTCCCCTTACCTGTGACACCAAATTTCATATCCACACAAAACAGGTTAATATTTTAGTCTTGTATATATGAGGTATTATGTCAGATAAAGTAATGAACACTGTCAATCTACAAAAAATGATAGTTTCGATTTATTCGCCTTCATGCACTTACCACAACGAAAAGTGAAAAGTGTTTTCTGCACGACACATTCTTCTTGCATTCTTACAAAACCTGGGCCTGTCCATACTTAATCATAAACGGACATAAACCTAAGGATTTTTTTAAATCTGCAGGATACTTACGGGTTATCATAATCTGGGCCCCTACCACAACACAACAGTGGATTCAGCTCGTCCATTGGGAATGCGTGTGCCATGTAGTTATTATAACCGAAATAAAACATTTTTTTCGCCTCTGCCAACATCTGTAAGCGGAGATCTTCTGGAAAAGAGCCATACTTGATGTCTAAACTATCTAATGGTTTTTTGAATATATTTAAAGCTTCGTGACTGACGTTTATCACACACGTTACTATCAAGAAAACATTGAGGCAATTATTTTCATTGCGCTGGAATACCATTTTAACCTATTTGCACACATAGTCATTACAAGAAATAGCAACACTGAAGCAGTTTCACTTTACACGACTCAACTGACGTGATGATGTGTCAGCAACTCAACATCTGAAGAATACCAATCACTCCTTTCAGCTTGTATTGGAATTCCCACAAAATTCATCCAAGTGGCGTATAACCGTTCGTTTCCGCACGTGATTCGTCGATAGCTCGGACGGTAACACGTGTACTTCACTTGATACGGAAATTAGCCATGTAACGATATAGCGATAAACTACTGTAACCTCTGGGATATCAGCAACTTTTTGCACGAGACGTGATCCTATGATTTTATCGAAATGGTCCATGTGTTCACTTTACTTATACTATAACATAGAGACACCTAAAAATCAATGCTTCATGTTTTCTGAAATGAAGTCAAAAGTAATATACGCCTTCTACTCTGAAAAGCTGTCGCATGAAGGATGGTAATTTTTCTAAATCCGCATTCACGTTTGCAGTTCGCTTCATCAATTAACTAAATGTAAAGTTTTGAGAATTGCAGTTCATGGTCCACATAAATTCAATCTAAACCCTTTCGCTTACTGTCAAGGCAAGGTATCCAAAAAACTTGCAGCGACTGCAAATATGCTCATAAACAGTTCAAACACATTTCATCATGAGTGAAAGGTCACATTCGAAGAGGCAGTACACTTTCCCAGTTTCTCATATGGCACAAAATGTGTGTAGAGATATGTTCTACTGGCAGTTTTATAGCGACTGTATGTCTACCAACACAATATTCAAAGCTAATGTCAAAAACTAAAACTGTTATTAATGATACATTAAATGAAAGCAGGCACAAATACAAAAATGGAACAGACAATACGGGTTTGAGACAGTTCACATATGCAATATGCATGGGTAACAATTGGTAAGATTTTAGGTTCTCATGGCAGGAAATATGAAGATGACTCTCTGTTGGGTTGTTGTACCATGAGGTCTGGTAGAAATTTACTAACATTTCAGTGGTGCTTGCAGCCTCCATCATGAAGGTGATATACACTTATAATGGACGCAGTAAGAACCTCTGAAATGGTGGTAAACTACTACCATCCTACAGGGAACAACAATTCAGAAGACAGCCATCAGAACTGATCTGAAGTAGTGACGGAACAAAAATACTGTAACACGCTAGCTTTGGAGAAGTAAAACAACAACAACACTATAATATACTTGATTTCTTTCTTAAATTATATATCCATACATGAACTGAAAATCAAACTTCATTTTATACCACCAACACTTTTACTTCTCCAGTGTCATTTACATAAATTACATTATGCCAGTACTTAAGAAACAAAGCCTGTGCAATCAAACTGAGCTCCTCCAATTATACTACCACATAATATTGCACCAAAATATAACAATATATAAAAATGACACCATTTTATATTTCAGACTTTTTTTTAAAGCTGGGTAATGGCACAACCTCTTTCTTTTGCAACATAAACACAGAATGCAGGTCATATTTTTCAACCGTAACATATCAGAATGGCATTCCAGAACAATTTTCATCAGCAGAGCAAATATGCCCTTTACAACTACAACTGTAATTTAATATACTTGTAATGTACTGATTTAATCATTCTGGATATTTCATTTTCGCTAGGGAGGGAGAGAAAAAGTAGAAACACTGGATACTGTATAAAAATTATTAAATTAGGGAATACAGGACTCTCCTTTCAGAAATATCACTGCAGAAAGAGAAAACGTAAGGTCTTCCTGTACATCAACATGAATATACAAAATGAGATTCTTACTTTAGAATATGGACATATTAGGAGTTTGTGCTGCCTATTTCAATGCTACGTCACTTAAAAGTGAGCATATTTAAAATTTCACCAACCACACATGGTCTCCACATCAGGCCGCATAAATGTTGCAATGCTTAAATTAAAATATAGTAAAATGTCTGTACAAATATTTTCATGGGGGCGTGAAAATAAATTCACTGAATTGTGATACAATGAAAGGCATTTATGAAGATTACTGCAATGATATGTGCTTATACTTTTCAAGGTGTTTGGGTGAAAGTGTTTTATCCAGTTAGCACTATCACAACTATGTAAGGAGAGTTCAGTAAACATCTACAAGTTCTTAAATAAAATATATAGAAAATTCTCATTGTTCAGACTTCTGTATCTTTCAATTTACAATAATTTCTTTTGGTCATTTTTGTCAGTACAATCCCATACAAGATAAAACATCTAAAAATATAATTTTACCAATTAAAATTAATAAATGAAAATTATTTAAAGTGCAAAATATTTTATACTTGCAAACAGCATTTGAAAGTGCAAAGAATTTCTGATTCATATATGTAATAAAATCCTTGGAACATCAAAAATGTTCTTTTATCATGCTCTGCAAAGGGATTGGTACTAAGTATCTTCGTAAACACCTCTGCGGACCACACAGGTAACGCAGCACTTAACAATAATGACAGACAGTGGAGGAGGAGGAGCCTCTTAAAGGTACTATACAAGCATAAGGTTAACAGGACCTGGTGAAACCACAAAATAAAATTTCCTACTAAAATTACAGCAGAACTTCAAACTGCTGCATCATGATTTGAATAGTTTCTTCATTATTACATTAGGTACGATGATAGATGGACACGTGAGATAACCATCCTTCCTTGAATCTGTGATCATAAAAAGAATAATGAAAACTGAACGTTGCTGATGAAAGTAACAACCCCTTTTATTTAAACGTATTCCTCTTCAATAACACAGCAACTTCTCAGGGTCGAACCATTAGAATCTTCTTTAATGGCCATAACTGACTGCACAGACTATTAAACTCTTTTAATTTTGCTATTATGTATTGAAAATATTACAAGACCTACACTCATTACGCTAGACTTCTTTGTTCAGATTCGGAAAAGGTAAGACTGAGTTGCAGAGAGGTCACAAAAGGCTTGCCTTGAAGGAAGGAAATAATGAATTAATATTAATTTTATTGAAATTCTGTGTATGTGCAAACCTACCAATTGCTCTCAGAGGAAATTAATATATTCTCTGTATAAGGTTCTGACACTACTGTGCAAATAAAATGTAACTTGACTTCCTGTCAGAAAGAAGAATTTCATCTTCATTAATTACATTGAAAACCGAGTGCATTACATTAAGATTTCTGTAACGGAGAATTTATTATTAATAACATTATTATTCACCACTTCTTCCTAATGGAAAAGAATTTGGAACGAAAACTACTTGATGTTCACTGTACTTACAATACCTGACACAAAGTAGTGCTACATGTATACAGAATGCTTCAGAAATATACATTGCCACAATCGGCAAATATTCTGTGCACAAAAACAATTAAATGTCTGTGTAAACATAGGTCCTTCAATGTTTCATTAAGTATGCCTGGAATTCAGCGTGCATAATACTTAATGAGGCGTGGAAGCACAAGGGCAACACTTTGAGCATTTTTGTAACTTCTTGTTATCAAAACAGAAATCTGTAATATTGGAATCAGCAATATGTAAACGCTTTCCTGTGGGCGTTAATATTTTATTTTTTATCCCAATCCTTCCAAAACAAAATGAGCCATAACTCAAAGATGAATCATCCAAGGATCCATGTTGTTATGCCGTGTGGATTAGCAGGTAGACACCAACGTTGATACGTACCTACAAAGTATCCACGGTATTGCTACTGAAACCTCCTTGTACTGAAAGGTAATTCATTTAGTCACCATTCTTTTTACATGAGCATAATATACATACTATGTTTGTTTGTCTGTCAATCAAAGATTTAAATTCCAGACATGTTTCATATTTTGATTAAATTTATATAATCTCAATAAAACTATAAAAAAATTACGAATTTTGCCAATAAAAGCCAAATAGGAGAACACTTACTCTGTTCAATGTACACCCCATCAAAAATAAATTGTAAAAAAAACTGTATAACAAACATGAGAATTTGTAAAACAAACAAACATTTATGCTGAGCAATTTTTGAGAAACAGGACTAAAATGATGCCAATATGGAGGGCACCATCATGCACTTCTTCATTCCTATTCAGAGACAAGGAGGACCAAAGATGGAAGATTTGATTGACATCTTACATATTAATTAACTTGCTTTTAGAACTCCTTTCCAATGTATGGGTGGACCAAGAACTCATTCCTTACAGTAGCATAATGAACTACAGTATTAAAGATAATTTTAAGAAATTCTGGCTGAAGATTTATCTCATGAAGCTTCAGGCAAGTACAACCCAAACTACGCTGCATAAAACAAATATTCTTGAATCTTGATATATAATAAAGTAGATATTAAGAGTGGCCACGGTAGATCTCCTAACTAGAACTTTAGGATATGTAAACTACAATGGAAGTAAAATATTCAGAGTACATGCAGTAAAGTTCAAAATTAATGACCATGGAATTAATGTCATTCAATGACTGATGATATTTATTGTTGAGTTTAAGGGAAGTTTTAATATGCTTCTAAAGAAAATCATAAAATTCTGATCACAGTAAAGGGGAAATAGCAGTCTATATGACAGGGTTAGTTGGTACAAACATAAATGACGCAGACACATATCTACAAAGACAAGGCAAAGTCAAACCCCTTCTTCTTATTACTCGCAACAAAACTGGGGTGAATATATCCTTACCAACCAAAAATGATTAAAAAAATTCACAAATGATCGCATTCTTCATGATTATGACAATGTATAAAAAAGATGGCAAAGTCGGTGGAGGAAGAGTATACATCAGGATCATTCTATGGCTCTTTCCAATTAAAGAAGGGCCCATACATGGTTTCTTACCACAGCAATTTCAACCAATTACTTGGAAGTATTAAAGGAATACAATAACTGTAGTATACAGAGGAATTAATATTGTGTGCCATTAGATATCTTGACAATTTCTCTTTACCTAGCAAAGTTACACAAGCATTATGCTTATTGAGATCAACCATGTACATCAGAGAGTTAATACAGTAATGACAACTCCCCCCCCCCCAAAATGCCCTCATTTCAAAGTTTTCTATGCCAATTTATGCCCTCTCCCCTCCTCCAGTAAAATACTGTTATGCACACATGCAGATTTCTGAAGCCACAAGAGATCTGAACAAAATGGCGACACCAGTGAATTCCAGTCCACATCAAAATTTCCGAGTACTAGTATTGCGATAAATGAAATGCTACAATTGTTCATACTACCTAATTGCAGCCTATAGCATAATCCCATCATTATAAAACTATATATAATAAACTATAATAAAAATAAACAAACTATTATCAGACAACAAATTCCTTCTTCTTCTTTATTACGCCGTCTCCTTTACAGGAGGTTGGCGACATATTACAAACAGGATCCTTCCACCCTTTTCTCGGACTGGAACCTGTTCATATATGTTTTTAGGCAGGTGATCCAGAAGTGGTTTGCCATTGCCTTCTTCAGTGTGTATGGAGAAACCGGGGAAGCCCCGGAGGAAAACTCCGTGTTGCCTAGACCACGGCCTTGCCCAACACAAGTTATAAATTTGGGCACCGCCGGGAATCGAACCCGGGACCCCAGGATTACAAGGCCAGCGTTCTAACCGCTAGACCACCGTGGCAGGTAACAAATTCCTTAAAGGTATAATTTTTAGACAAAATAGGAAACTAAATCTTTCAGTCATTTCATTAATCCTTCAAAACTTCAATTAATGCTGCACATAATGTAATTTTATAATGATGAGTTCACACTATAACAAGGATTTGTTTGAATCATTAACAAGAAATATTTCCAATTACAATTCTGTACTTATTTACAATAAATGTAGATAACATTATGTACACAAACAGATACCGCTGTACAGAACCAATCATGAGAAAGTAACGTGTGGTTCAGTATCACAATGCTTCTAATGTTATGACCAAGTCGTATCACGAAGATCACCATAGTCAGATGAAAAACCAATGTTTCCCTGTTTAAGTTGTATTTCGATTTCAACCCTCATATAAAACTTCTCTAATTTTTATTTTTGAAAATTTATTCTAGAGGGGGAAAAAAAACCCAGACTTTTCACCTTTGGCCACAGCCTCTTTGATGAGGCAGTCTTCACAAATCCTGGCTTACAAAATTGCATGTAATAACAATTACTGAAAAAATAAATACAGTACATCAACAAAATAATCAGTCTGTAACATACATTACACCAATTTCATCCTATGCAAGCAGCTCCATTTTAAACATTTCACACCTGGTTTGGAATCAATACTGTCCACTGATTTAAATTAAAACTTCACTAGTGGCCAAA